TATTATTATTATTATTATTATTATTATTATTATTATTATTATTATTATTATTATTATTATTTTCAATCATTTTCTTCCAGACAAAGGCAGCCTATGTACTGTTTTACCAGCGCAGAGATGTCAAGCTCAAGGGGAGCCATTCTTTTTGCCCAAGCATGGAATCAGAATCTGAAGAATGTGATGGCATGGATACTAATTGAATTTGTGTGGATATTCTCTAATATAAAAATATATCTGAGGACTTATTTTGAACCCCTGTAGGCTACTGGACAACGCAGGATGCCTCAGCACTGAAAAATAGAGGAAGCAATAAGATGGCAAACTTGGGCATATTCTCTAACCTAAGAGTTTTTAATCAAATTCTATCTTAACTGTTCAATAAAATAAAACGTTGTCTAAATCTGATTTTGTATTATGAAGATTGTGTGGAATTAAGAACTGCTATATGACTGGAGCAATGCACGTTAAGAAAAAGATGGCTGTGTTGGTTTGCAACTTCAAATTGTGTAATTTCATGCATTGTGAACAGTGTACAATCTTGGAGATATCTGTGTGCTGAGGAAGTGCAATATGTGGACATCAGCTTCAGTTTGATTAGCACATATTACCACAACATTGTGTCAATCCGTTTTGGACATGTCATTATCAGACTGTTTTTTGAGAAAGTATTTCTCCTCGTCCAAAGTTATTACCGAAGAAGTATTGCAAAAATAGTTTCCATATGCTCAGACTCAATGCCTATAAAGCAATCCTTTAGAAGTAATATACAGATAATATTTCCTTCCTGTAGCAATGTTCAAAAACCCTATTCTTCATGTTCATCTGATCGCAATGCTTTATGCTCATTTGACACCTTTTCTCCACATTTATGCAATGTTTTATCAGCATCACATAAAGGTCTCAATCCCTTTCTGTTATGAAGGCCATAAAAAAAAATCCAATTATTTTGGATGTGTTTCAGCCATTCATTTTATTTCCCATCATTTTATTCCTATTTATTTGAGTAATTTCCCTTCTGTTTATCCATTACCACATCAATTAAAAGTTACCAAAGAAAAATGGTCTTAATGTGTCTTTTTAATCCACATCCTTTTCACTAAGCCCTAATGTACTTGGTAGTAGCTTATCTATACAAACTAAGAGAGTTCAGTAATCCCCTGAAATGCCACATTATAATGAAGAGATTTGTTATTAATGGAAATGGCTTTGAAATCACATTAATTCCTCATGAAATTATTTCCGTTTTCTGTTGACAGTATGTTCCAAAAATTCATTCAACACTTTTGAGAATCATTTCTTTCACAAATAAATTTTATGTAGGCTTTTCTCTGCATTCCCACAGGCTATAGTCACCAGTGACCCAATATTATTTTTGCAGAATTTATTAGATGTGATCAAATATTCTCTAGATTTTAGCAGAGGAAGAATCATTGCTGTCAGCTTTATTCTGTTCATATTCAAATTTCCAATGATTACCATATAGATTTGCAGGTGATTCTTCTAAAGCACTGAAATTATTATTTGGTTGAGTTGCTTGTGCTTCCAAATTTTTAAACTGGTTTGAGGTTTTATCTCAACTGCATATATTTTCTTGCACATATGGGGCAGAGAAAAGGAGCTGGAATTATTTAAACGCTAATGTCAAATTACATTTTATGGTTTTGCTTTTTTCTGTTTTTCTGGGTTATAATTCTTTTAAATGTAATATTTGGAGAGATAATGGAATAAATATTTAAATGCAAAAAGCAATTTATAATTAACTATAACCGTATATATTTCTGTTGCATACTGAAGCAAAAATCTTCACTGTTTTTAAGTATGATCAGAGAGTAAGTACATAGAAGTAAGTTTCTTCTAAATGCTGTACAAATGGTATTAGGAATTTTGATTTGCCTCTGACCAGGCTGAATCTTAGCTGGTGTGTACATACTGTATAGTATCAAGATCACTTTTAGACTAGCACTGGATTGTTTTACTGTGTAAAGATAAAGAATAAAATAAAGAGGAATAGATTGCACAAAATATATTCTCTTTGGTATTTCTGTGTGGAGAATGAGGGTTTCTAGTATATCCTAGGATCTGACTCATTACCTGATTGAATAGTAATGCCTCTATCAAGCCATACCAAAGGTGCAGCAACCTTTTCCCTTTAACTTGGAATATAGTAGTAGCTAGCTGCAATGTGTATGTAATTTCAGTAATTTCTGAAACTAGAATTGTAAATTTATACAGCGTTTCTTGGCCTCTAAGGGAGGATTTCATTCTCTATTTCTTGGAAATTAATCTTACTAAGAATTTTGGATTGACTTAAGTCTACTTATCTCACTTCCTAGGAAGATTCGTCAATCCTTTTACAATTTTAAGACTGTCATCTAACTGAGGCCATTTATGGAGAAAAATCACTAATGATTATCTGAAATAGGCTTACAATGTTGAGTTATATGCAATGATTTCTGAAGCACTGGGACAGACAATAAAGATATTTCTTTTTAGTATCCAGATCAGTTCTGATTAGGTTTATCAGATTCAAATAAGAAAATAATTCTTTTTATTAACTAAATAAGTAATATTTATTAATAATAAATTGCTATTGGAAAGCAGTAAGTCCCATCTTGGAGGAAAGTTCTAGTAGAAACAAAGGTTCCGTGACAGTTGAAACCTTTCACAGGGAGAGGAGGGGCACCAAGCTCTTAGCTGGGAAGCTTTCAATTCAGCCTATGACTTTCTTGCTAAACAAAAGGATTTGTGCAATTGGTCTTTTATCTTGTACTTGTCTTGCATTTGGGAAGCCTTGATAAACAGGTCTGGTGGATCCCAAACTTGGATTACAAAGGGCACTGGCCTATAAAACCCTTAAAGTCGATTAGGCATCCCTTACATTTTGATGATATCATCACAAGCGATTGCTTAGATACTTTGTATCTTATGAACAGATTATGGGATTTCTAGAGAATGCAAAACTTCAGAAAAGATTTTATATAAGTAGTAAAAATAAACTTAAAGAGAATAGGGGCATAAAATTTTTGAAGCAACACAATATTAAGATAAATTGCAGATGACCACTTTTAAAAAAAACTATTCACAAAGCTTAGATGGGTCATTAATAAGTCTTAACAACAATTGTGATCAATCTTTCTCCAAAGTTGCTGAGGGGGTTGCTTATGATTCTTTTTCCTTTCTCCTTATTATAATCTGATAGGTAATGATTGAGTCAGGCTGTCTCAACAGGTTGAATGCCTGGGAGAAGATATGAAGCCATCATTTCTTGGTCAAAGTTTATATCTTCTGAATTAACTTCCGGAAGTATTTTAGGGAGACCTAGAGAAAACTAAAATTTATCTCTGGTGTTTATGCTATGTTCAGATTCATTATAAAGAATGCACTCAAGTATCACAGTCATAATTCAGCAAATCACTCTAGGAGGGAGATGGATGTCCTCCAAATTTTGAGGGAGAGTGTGGGAGAGATCAAAGTGACCTGGTTCAGACATTGCTAAACAACTGTACTGTATGAATGTGGTATGGCTATGATCAGATAAGAATTAAGCCAAAAAATTGGTTAATAATGTACTACCACTGTTTGTAAGTTACCTGCTCCCCAAACTGCTATTATTTGGATTTTTATAAATCAATTGTTGCCATTTTCACAGCCTATATGTTATAAAGTGTGGCTTGCACAAACCCTAAATGGTCTCTATGCCATGTCCAAATAGAGTGTCCATTTAGATTAAAATAACAACATATCCTCATTGACAAAATGCTTTTGTTTATTATTGTGTTGAAAGCCATGCTTAGAGTGAGGTATAAATCTTCCCAGTTTTATATATAGAGATGAATGACCAAACGAAGTACCAGTCTACAAGTTTTAGGAGGGGACTGGCAGAGGAATATTATAGGTTTGCTCCAATTACAACTTTCTATAAGCAATCAGACTTCTGGACAATTGGCTATTTTTCCCTTTCAGGTGAGATGTCTGAAAAGTTAAGTAGGTGCCGTAAGGAGCTAGCAGCAGCTATTGATCGAGCAATGGAAGATCTCTCCATTCCTTTCCTTCCTTCCCAAGATGCCAGCAACAACCAGGACTCTGATTTGCCAATAGTGCAACTTTCTACACCCCCTAATGTAGATATCCTTAATTCTAAGGGAGAGGTAATATCTCCAACTGTGTATTACCCCCAGCCATCTTCAGCAGTCTCTTCTCCTGAAAAAGAGAATCCCCTCCTTAGGTCAAATCTCTTTCCAGTGACGGTAACCTCGAGTATTGCATGTACCAAACGGGAACCGTTGATGAGTAAGGAAAATACATGGTTGCACTCCCCAATCTTTATGGCTGACAAGCAGTATTTAATCAGCCTACAAGACAGTGAGAGATGGAAGAAAGGACAAGTAAGGTACGCTTTGCCGTCACAGGCTTGATTTGTGATATTATATAAGAGCAGCATCTGAATTTCTTTTGACAACTTTGGCTCCTGCAAATCAAGAACAGGGTAGATAGATGCTAGAGCTGACTCCGGGCATTTTGACATCCAAGATCAAATGGTAAAAAACAACACAAAGCAAAATCAAAGGATATATACCATAACCTAATTTGCTGGTCAAAATTTGCTATCTCACTCAGCTCATCAACTCTGGAATATATTGCCAAGAGAAAATTAGTAAACTCCATATTGGTCTCTTACCAGCAGGCAAATACATTTTATTCATTGTAAACTGAAACAGGATGAACTTGTATCAGTTTCCAGATGAAATCTCGATCGCTAAGATGCTATTTTAAGACGGCAGGCTTTGCAAGACATCCTTAAGAGGACAGGTTGAGCTCAAAACTTGCTAGCGTGGGCTCCACGGGGGTAAAAAAGGCCAGCCCTTTGAATCAATGCTCCTTATTCTGTGAAATGTGGACATCCATAACATAGAAGATGGAATTGATCATATCCATCCTACGGCAGTTGGTGGTAGCCTGAAGTATAATGATGTTAAAAGGCCCCTAAATAAATGGCACAATCATTATATAACTTTTTAAAATTATCATTGCATTGTTCATTGGTATTCTATTTTTATTAGTCCCCTACATCATGATCATTATTCAAAGAGCAAGCCACATGTTAAAAAAAACAATACAGCAGGTATTTGTTATGGTAAGGGAGTTGGAGGCTAAGGTTTGCCTGGTTTGTATTTTAGTAGAGATCAACAGAATTCACAATGACCAAACTCAAACTAAGAAGCATTTCTTTAAAAAAAAAAAGCTTTTATTTTTATAATGATGCGGTTCTTAAAAATTGTATATAAAAATATGTTCAGGTAAAACTAAGAAGACATTGAAAAGACAGTTTGGGAAAGTGCTCGGGGAGGTATCTTTACATCTTACTAGGCACAAATTATATGGGCTTATGCCTTAATGCAGGGGTGTCAACCTCATGGCATCACAAGTGGCATCACGTGACTATTGGGACTTTTTCCCCCTTCACTAAACCAGGCATGGGCTTGGCCAGCATGTGATGCATCCGGCCCGTGGGCCAGGAGTTTGAGAGCCCTGCCTTAATGTATAAAAATAGCTACACTGAATGAATTTGGATAGCATACCTGAAAATTGAGACATCTGTATTACTTGAATACTGGGATAAAATTCATTTGTTTGTGAAATTGGTTGGATTGTTTTCAAATGTTTCTCTTACAATGGGAAATGTCCTGGTCTAGTGTTCAGTTAAGGTGTTTTTATGCTGTTCAGCAAAACTGATGAACGATCCATGAAGTCAGAAACAAACCTAATTTCCTGTGATGTTCCTCCAGAAAATCCAAAGGATCATGAAGATATGTCTGCTGGTAAGCAATATTTCCTCTGTTCCATAGCTCTTTTTAAAAATTGGTTCCATGAAGGGAATTAGCACTGCATGCTTAAAGAAGCAAAAAGAATATGAACATCAAGTTTTCTGCAGAATTTTGTTTTAATACGGATGTCAAGCACAAAATGAATGCAAAATAAGGATTTTAAAAAGCCATGCTCTGAAAAATAGCAATGGCTAATTTTGCATTGGCTTGAAAAACACAACTTTAAAAGTGGGAAGATAGAAATATGTGATGGGAAGGCCAAAGTTCCTTTAGAACTTTGTTTCCATAAATGCATGTGTTAGATTCTTGCCTCTAGTTCAGTGGTGGCTACACACCAGAAATCAGAACAGCAGCTCCCCAACGTGTGCACGTGGGAGCGCCAGAAAGTGGAAGTTTAGCTTCCTGGCGTGCATGCGCACCAGCCACCAGGTCTTCCGGTTTCTAATGCACATGTGGGTTTAAAGACTAGCTGGCTGATGCACGCATACACTCCCGGAAGAGCAACGGCCAATGGCTGGCATGCCCAGAGAGACGGCTCTGCTTGCCACTTCCAGCACACATGGCATAGGTTCGCCATCACGGCCCTAGTTCATTAGCTTTTCACAAACTGGCAAGCCCTCAAAATACTGTATATCCCATCCACATTTGAAATAGCCAACACTGTTACAATAGATGTGAGAAGAGTTGTTGTAATGGGAATTCAGTTTGAAATTCTTTAGCTTCTTCAGAATGAGCAAAGAAACCCTCATTCTGTTATTTTGAAGGATCTGGAGCAAACAACCAGCTTTTTATGCACTTTTCCCTCCACTGCAGATGACTCCTCAGCTGTCCATCTGGGTGAGAGGAACACTTTCCGAAAGGTCCTAGAACACAGCCCAGAAGATGAAGCTATCATTGAAACCTTGTTGGATATGGAAGAGGAGTACAGATTAAACAGCTCCACCTTGCACCAGCTTCACTAGGCAGGTGGTGTGAAGTGTGAGCTATTTTTAAGATTTGGTAGTAACATTTGAAACCATGCAAGCAATCCTGACTTTTGCCAGATGCACAATTAAAGTAAGCAACTTACAATATTGGCATGAAGTTTCTTTTTTCTTCTCTGTCAGATAATGAACAGTAATTAAATGCTGACCCTTCAAGGTCAGTTTCCATTGCAAAAAAGATACTGCATATAAGCCTTCTTGTGACATAACGATTTTTTAAATTTTTGCCAAACAGCAAATGTGCATGTCTTTAAACGAGAAAAAAAACAGGTTTGAATCATGGGATGAATTTCACAGAAGGAAACACAGAAGACATAAACACTAATAACAAATCTGACTGGTGGTGGAGTAAAATAATCTATTTTTTATATCTAAAAATTCATTAATGGTAGGAACTTGTGCATCTAGAGTTGATGAATTACTCTGGGGAAGCAAGCTGCATATGTGCTTTCATGTGAGACAGGAAAGAAAGGAGAGAAAAAAATGTGTAATTCATCATGATCGTAAATGTATAGTTTAAAAGAACATTCCTCCATCCTCTCTAAACCGCCTCAAATTTTTGTTTGGAATGAAATTAAAAGATTTGGTGGATTTTTAGCTTTTACCTGTTATCATAGCCGTTTTAGGGGTAAAATAATATTACTGACCATTGAAGAAAACAGTAGGCATCAAGATGTTCTTTATCGGATAATGATGATTATAAGAAATATTAATCTATTTTGTTTTTGGCAAAAAATAGGCCATGCGTTAAGGGCATAAACATTTTCAGCAGTTCAAGTAAGGTCCACTTTTGTAAGGAGCATATACAAATACCAGCATAATTTAAGTGGAAATATTGTTACCTTAAAATTACGTCAACAAGGGAACCAGGGAATGTTCTATCCATACACATAATTCTAATGTTATCCACATCCAGAATGGGAAAAGGCTATTCTGTATATGGTGCATTACCTATAGTTTGGTTTCTAGCTCAATCATTGGCAACTGTTGCAGTTGACTTCTTGTGACCTGTCTCTCTTCATATAAAGCAAATACAGGTAAGTCCTTGATTTATGATTGGTCATTTAACGAGGTTCAATGTTCCAGCAGACCTCCCCCAAGAGATTTACAACTCTGTTCTAACAGAAGCGCGTACACACACACACACACACACACACACACA